ATAAGTTAAAAATTAGGAGTACTCATGCAAAGTTACACCTTCCCAGTAAACTTAAAGAGTTAAACCACAAATCATTATAAGAAGATAAAGTTTTAGAAGTGGGTCAATAAATTGAGGGGAGTTTAAAATTTCTAGAAATACCTCAGCTTGGCTTGTGCTTCTATCAATGTAGTTGCTGCAACAAGTAATTCCGCAATGCCCTTTGCAGGACTAATCACTCTGCACAAATACAGAAGAGATAAATGAAAGTGAGACTATTAGTTAGAATGAGTTCACAAAAGAGGACATAAGTGTACGAGAATTTGTCCGAAAATATTCTAACATCTAAACCAAAAAAAAACGTATAGCTCATTGTTCTGCTCGTTCATCTTGTGTACAACATGTAGGAAAACTTTTTATTTGGACCATCCTTATTCATGTTTATGTTTTATTTCACTTCCAAGATAGCAAAAACTACTAGGATGAAGAAATAAGAAGTTTCAGTATTTAACTTCAACTGTGTCAATAACGTTAGCCTAACAGACCATAATCGCAATACTGTAATTAGTAACAAAGGACAACCTGTTACTAGCATACAAATAAACCACAAAGGACGAGGTTTCACTAACATACAAATAATAGCTAACCTGGGAGAAAAACTTATAGACAGAATAAGAAATAATAGTGGCATTCAAAATATTAAACAGAAAAAGACTCATGAATGTTTAATATTAAATAGGTGACACAATAAAATCAAGATCCAGCTTACTATTCTCATCCAGTATGATACACTAGAAATATTTGAGGCTAATTAGTTCATGGTCTAAGTGCATAAGCTGCATCTCCAATCAGCTTAACACTTTCTTTCAATTATTTCTTGGATAACCGCACTTGAAGAACAGAAGATATATTACATTATTGAAATCAAAACAAAGTAGATTTTGGTAATTGTGTAAAGATCCTCAGCCTATTTCTCATAAAACATATGCGATGGTGAAGCCAAATATTGTAAAGATGTCAAGAATTCGCAATTCATTTAGATAAACAAGAGCAACAAATGAATCTTTTTAATTCAAATCAAGAAAATAGTCTAGATTTTTAAGTGCTGCAACTGAGAAAAATTTTCGAGCGAAAACTGTTTCGATAGGCAAAGAAAGTTGGAAATGAATATCCTAAGTGAAGCACCTAATAGAGGATTACTGTATTATGTCAAAAAAAAATACGTCTACCATCAACTCATCTTTGCTTTCTCATTAACTGTTGGTCGACCCCTAATGAAATTCCTCCTCCCCCTCCTAAACACACCTCTGAGGAAATATTGGCACAAAACTTCTATAATTGTGTTTGCAAACCATGAACCATGAGAGTTCGTTTACTGGAAATGATTGCCAGATATGGTTTATTTGCTCCACCTTCCTACTCTTTATTCCTTGTCATATTGAAGTCTTTAAGTATAACTAGTTACAAAAACTCCTCATATGCATGAAGTGGCATAATAGACGCTAGACACTATCCAATATCTGAGTTTTATGCTTTCCTTCTACAGCAAGAGCAGTCTCAAGGTTTCAAATGACTCTAAGTATATGCTTATTTCTTCCATCATCTTGTCTATTGTTCTGTTTTCCTCTCACTACTCCTACAAATAATGAATTCTCATGAGACAAAGGATATTATACTTGATATACTAGGGATTTCAAGTTTCAATTCTTAAATCAATAACGCCTCAGTCCAAATCATTTGAGATTGGCTATGGAATGGATACTCATCAGAAGAAAGTCCATAATCCTTTTTGTTTGACTAACCACTCACCCTAGAAAAAATAAACTTTTGATCAATCAATAATTAATTGTTCAATCCTAAAAATTGCTTGAATATAGTTACATGATTTCTCTGTATATATCATGCCATGACAAATAATTCAAGAAATTCACTGTCAATACACAAAAAGGATATATTTCCTTGATATCGAAATACAAGAAACATCAATAGTAGCAATTTACATTGACCAATACCTAAAAGAAATTTAAATAAAGCTCACGTCAAAAGAACAAGACTATAACAATACTCTATCACGTCATTTTATTCCAATACTAAATAATTCAAAAGACCCACTATCTGCACACACAAATATGAAACCCAATCAGAACAAAAAAAATACAACAATCCATCATGCCCATTTCCTTCTGATAAAGAATATTTCAAGGAACCCACTAAAGCACGCAGGGAAAAAAAATAACCTTTTGGCTTGAAAAGAAAAAACCCAAATGAGATTAAGAATGTAGACTATGATGAAAAGCAGAGAAGGTAAACCAGGAATTTCATTCTAACCTCTCTTTCTCCTGATCTATCGATTTCCAGCGAGGAAGGCTTTGCGGCAATGATTTCTTGCGATGAATAGGTGATGGCTTTGGGAAGAAATACTCTATGTCCAACAAAGTCGGCGCATATATAACCTTACTAGTTGCAGGAGGCCCGTTCTAAGCCCAGGCCCAAGCTCAAGATATTTTTCTTAAAATTAATAATTTTAGTTTAATTAAATAAGTTTAATTCGTATCATATTTTTTTACTGCATAAATAATTTAATATAGTGAGATGTCAATCAAGTCTTGTTGATAGGTCTTCATAATTATTAAAGTTTCTTAATCACATAATTGAATAATTTTGTTAAAGAAAAAAATTAAAGCAAGTTTGGCCGGAGAGTTAGCAAATACCAAAGGGACACAAGTGATTCAATATTCTATAACCTGATATGATTTAAAGTGTTCAAAATAATTACAACTCGGACAACATCATAAATTGAAAAATAATTTGCATTTTATGAACTTGTGAGCATATAATTTCTTTAGTTATAGATTTTTTTTTGTATTTTATTATTTGTTCACTCATAATTTCACGTGGTATAGGTTATGTAGTTAAATGTGGGGATTTAAGCTTAGTTTTAGACGAGTTCAAAAAGAAACCTAAATTTATCAAATTGAACCTTAAGGATCAATTTAGTTCCATACTTTACGCTTACAAAATTAATTC